AGAAAGAAAGAAAGAAAGAAAGAAAGAAAGAAAGAAAGAGAGAAAAAGAAAGAAAGAAAGAAAGAAAGAAAGAAAGAAAGAAAGAAAGAAAGAAAGAAAGAAAAAAAGAAAGAAAGAAAGAAAGAAAGAAAGAAAGAAAGAAAGAAAGAAAGAAAGAAAGAAAGAAAGAAAGAAAGAGAGAAAGAAAGAAAGAAAGAAAGAAAGAAAGAAAGAAAGAAAGAAAGAAAGAAAGAAAGAAAGAAAGAAAGAAAGAAAGAAAGAAAGAAAGAAAGAAAGAAAGAAAGAAAGAAAGAAAGAAAGAAAGAAAGAAAGAAAGAAAGAAAGAATCGGCTAAAAGAAGTCAAAGAAGGGAGCCGACGTTAACGAAGGTAAGTTTGTTTTAAATATTGATTTTATAATGGCTTTAGTAAAACCCGACGGCCTTTGCATATGAAACAACTAAACAAGACAGCATATAATTTCAGTGTAACTTGATTCTTTTTTCTATTATGTTGAATTTTTTAAATAAAAAAGAAAGCAAAGTTATTTGCAAGCGAGAATTTGAAATCATTTTATTGCAAACTCAAAGTTTATCGATAAAGCCATTTAATTATTTAAAGGCAGTTTAGTTTTATAATGAACACTTTAAAACGTTTTGCGAAGCGTTTGTGGTTGAATTTTACCTTAAATTGAGGCTTATATTACGTATAGTAACATACCTAACATATATATGTTGGGAAATTGATAATTTTGTAATTAAAAGTGATATTTTTAGCAAATTTTTCATTTGTAAAAATATTCTTAAAAAATTATCGTGTTACCATGACAACTACTCTAGATACTTCATGTTCGGAAAATACAATGGTTTTGTAAGCAAGGCGAGGGTTTCTGCATGTATGTATTTTCTAGTTTAGACCTGAATTAGTGTTAGAGCGCTGCACCGGAATCGCAGGGCCGCAGGTTTGACTCCTGCCAGAGGGCCTATAGTTGCATTTTTCGCAGCTGCTCCTGGTTAGATGTAAATCAATATATAAAACTTACGCTCGAAATTTCCATCTACAAAAATCCTTCAACATTGGTTTATAATTGCTCAATGTGGATCGTCAGTGAGTCACCTGTTAATCCCATGTAGAGTGAAATCGACGTCAAATAGTGAAGAATTCGGGTATGCCAACACTAAACATCTATACATTATGCATACAGAAATAACCAATGAGAACCTTTGGTATTGAGCAGGTTGTCTCTGACATTTGGTAAACGAAAACACACTAGTCTGATATATTATAATGTTCAGTGTGGTTGGTATATTGGGTAAAAAATGTTTAACCGTGTGATCTGTCTGAAAAATTAGAAGACGTATAAACGATAGATTTGCTAATATAAGCACCTGTGTAATGTCAAGAACAACATGTACAAAAAACCTGGTGCCAGTCATTTCAATAGTTCCGTCTACTCTTCTAATATCCGCAAAGGCAGAAACAGCGTCTCATTTTCAAACCTGGCGCCATTAGCCCACATGGTCTCAATTACCAATTATGACATGCATGAGGTGGAGGTTTTACCCTTAAATTAAACCCCGGTTATTGTTGATTTAGGCATGCCGCTACCTTGTCACTATTATTGTAAGTCATTTTGTAGACTAGCACCGCCTTCCCACCGGGCACACGACGTTGTTTCAACGTTGAAATTTGGTAGAAAAAAGGTTGCGACGTCGACAACCTAATATCTACGTTGCTCTGACCTTGTTTTACAAACATTAGTTCAACAGCAGCCAACAGACGTTGAATTAACGTTCATTCATGGTTAAATGTACGACGTCGATTTGTGAACCAATCTCAACGTTGTTTTAACGTGGATTCAAAGTTGAATTATGGTTGACGAGATTGGCAACCTAATTTCAACGTTGTTTCAACGTCGAAACAGTAACGTCGATCCAATTTGCATAGTCAACCCTTTTTTAACGTCTATCCAACGTCTGGAAGGTCATTTCCAACGTTGATTCAACGTTGGATAAACGTCATTTTGCCCGCTGGGTTCTATCATAAGTTGTCACACACTTTGATCTTCTATTGCTCTTCACATATTTTAATTGATTTTTCTTCGTTTCTTTTTCTTTTAGACTACTGATGGTCGACGTGAGACAGTTGTTTGGGTTGCTAATGAAAGGGCAAAAGAGTGTCATGATTGTAAAGTAAAATTTACGCATTTTAACAGAAGGGTATGTTTTAGAAAGAATAAATGTCCTTTGTTAGTCTCCACTAAAGGGTAAAACATCACTTTGTTTCCATTTCGATCTGTAGTTGAGTATCGTGCATGGGAGGTAGAACGAACTGCAGCACTGTAAAAATTCAAAATGTTCGCACCCAAAGAACACCACCGCTAACTTTGTAACCTAAACTGTTTTGTTTTCTTTTTATCTCTCGTCAATGCATTTTCCTTGTCAACCAATCAGCATCATTGCAGGTATCTATAACATAAATATTTTTAGTTTTTATCGTTCAGTTGCCTTAAAGTGCTGATGCAACGGAATTTCACACCATTTTTTTATGATTGTATATTGTCAAGAAAATTCAAAATGACCAAATATAGGATACTTTCCCAAACTATCTTCTTGCTTCGTTCTTGACATATTTAATAATTTTTGGTATCGTCACTATGACGTCACATTGCATAATAACTGGCTGGAAAAAACTTCAAAATATCATGCATCGAATTCGTAAAACCGCCCATATATGTTAACATACTATTTAACAATTATTAGCCGAAGGCGAGGTGATTATCGGGAATATTCGCCGAAACGAAGTGAATATTCCCCGATAATCACCGAGCCTGAGGCGAATAATTGTTTTAGTATTTTTGCACAAGTTTTTTTGTGTTTTTCTTGTCTGAATTAATTTTAATTTCGCTTATTTCTTTATCACTAACTTCAACAAAACGGCTAGCCACCAGTTTTGAAAATTTCGATTTTGTTATATTCACCTGTAGGTGTTATATTCACCTGTAGGTGAATATAACAGATTAATACGTCAAATTTGACCAGTCACCTTGTAGGATTTGTTAATTATGTTTACTTGTGCAAAAATACTAAATATAGATGTAGATGTCGACGAATTTAAATCAGTTATCTATATAAGAGCTATGCAATTTGACGTCAGAGTAAGGATAATTTTCATATCAAGCCGAGATAGATTGGCATGCAAAGAATCTTATTGGGTCAATTTGAATTGTCTTTACAATGCAATAAAAAAATAGTGTCAAATTTCGCTGTATATTAGCATAATCACTTTAAGCATGCATTTAAGTTTCATCCCCATAGCTAACTAGAAACTTTGAGGATTCTTTGTGCAAAACTGTCCTAACCGACTAAAGGCCATCGGCATCGCTCGAAATGTCAAATCATTCTCTATATATTTTTCAAGTAGTTCTATCCTTAAACCAACCACGCGAGCATTGTTCGCCTGTCACCAGGATTGCACACTCTCCTCCGCAGAGGCTTTGTAGTTTGTTTTCTTTCTATGAGTTTGTTTGCTTTCGCTATGAGTTTGTTTTCTTTCTATAAGTTTGACTTGCGCCCACTTCTCTGCCTAGCCAGCTACTGCCCGCCAGGAGGAGCGAGCGCGCGGGGTTAAAAAGGGGCATCGTGGACATTTGGAGACATCGTGGACATTTCCCGTCACCCCCCGCGCGCCCACTTCTCTGCCTAGCCCGCTACTGCCCGCAAGTCAAACTCATAGAAAGAAAACAAACTACAAAGCCTCTGAGAAGGAGAGTGAGGATTGCATGTAAACCATCTACATGAATGGACATCCCTGGTTAAATATTGTTAATAAAATATGAATGAAGCCAACTCATATATGGCCGATATTTAACAATTATTCACCGATTGGACGTGTATATAGGTGTAATTGTATAAGATTAGTGCATAGTAAGGACCACCTCCTGAGTATATTAACCTTTACTTCACATTTCAACTTCACCAGAGCTTGTGGTCAGGTATTCTGTAATGAATGTTCATCACATCGTGTCTGTCTGTTGAAACTTGGCTATACAAAACAAGAACGTGTTTGTGATCGATGTTATATCAAACATCGAGACGAAGTGGATAAGCGTGGCATTAAAGGATCAAAGGTATATGTTACACGAGGAGAGGCTTAAAGGAATACCAAATATGGCTTTCCGTGCAGGATAGCGATGACCATGCACGCAGGATGTTGCGAGACTTTCGGAAAGCGTAAAAATCACGACCCGCATGCAGACAAGTACGGCTCGTGTTTTTTCACGCTTTTCGAGCTATATCCCAAGCGCATCATTGGTGATGCCAATGAAATCGAGACTAAACTTAAAAGAGATCTTGAGAATGTTCATAGTTGGCTTAGATGTAACAAGCTCACGCTAAACGATAGCAAAACGGAATTTATGATAATTGGCTCTAGACATCATCTTACTAAATTTGAAGACAACCCAGAGATTTCATTAGCCATACGAGATAATAATATTAAACGGGTCACCAATAAAAAATCTCTTGGTTTTATCATCGACGATCAATTAAAGTGGGGTATATACACATTGACGCACAATGTAAAAAAATCTCAAAAAATATCGCATTACTAAGAAGAGCCAAGTCCTTTGTTCCTTTACACATTTTAATCAAAATGTATAATGCTCTAGTATCTCCTCACCTGACATATTGCTCAACAATATGGAATGATGGATCTAATACCATTCTTAACAAACTCTCTAAGTTACAAAGAAGAGCAGCTCGGGTTATCACAGGACAATCATACGATGTTCGTTCCACTCAAATACTAGAAAGTCTCAATTGGATGCCAATTGAAGACATTTTAAAGAAAAAGAGAAATCATTATGACGTTTAAAGCTTTAACTAACAGACTACCTGATTATGTGCAGAATTTCTTCACGAGATGCGAAAATAGTAATTATTCTCTAAGAAGCAATAATGTTAAACTATCTTTGCCTAAACCAAGAACCAACTTTCTTAAAAGAAGTTTCTCTTATAGAGCAGCACAAGGGTGGAACGAATTATCGGATGAAGTAACTAATAACATTCAAGATTTATCTTTACCCAATTTCAAAAGGCGTTTACCCCTTAAGCTTGCACATGAATAATGTATAATGCATTTCCGAAATTAATGTGTAATAATTATGTGCTGTAATTAAATGTAAATATCCATAGTTAATGTGTGTTTAATACTATATAGCACGGCCCTTTGAAAAACAGACTGTATATATTATACTGAATAGGCTACCGTGTTAAAAGAAATTTTATTAAAGATTAAAGATTAAAGACGCTATCCCGCACGGAAAACCATTTGATAACTGTTTTATAAACAACTCCAAGATATATTTGGGCAATTTCCATCAATTGCGGGCACATTCCCCCCCC